TGGGTCACCTATCGCAGTGGCTATAGGCAGTGCAGGGCAAGCTGTGGACTTGGAGAGAGTACCCAGCTCCTTCAGGAGATAGTGGAGGAGGGAAGGGACCTTCACCTCCTGGGGTTTCCCTGTCTGTGGTGGGATGCCAGTGGGGAGCTGGCTGGGACATGACCTGATTCTATGAAAGAGCCCTTGGAAAATGTTAAGTGAGAAACATTGTGTAAGAACACTAGATTGCCTACAGGTGATTGTTGTTTTGAGTCCCACCTTGATTTCTCAGCTGGTTACAACCTGTTTCTATCTCAGGTACTTAAGTAACCCCCTCCCCAGGATCTGCTTGATGGCTGTGAGCCCCTTGCAGTTTTTCCTGCCTTTCCTTGCTGGGGCACTGCAGTTCCCATCACTTACAGCTGGGACAGCATGGTTGGAGCTGCTTGTGTGGGACGTTGTGGCCAGGCAGCTGGGGAGGGGACCTGGAAGTTGCTCTGGGAGATGAAGATGCTGTTTCCCAGCTGACGGTGACCTGGCTGAGGCTCATGGCTTGGGGGCCTCCCCACCAAGCTGGTTTCTGAGCCCTGCCATGGGCTTGTGGCAGCACAGTTGGTTTTCGGTGGGCATCAAGGTGGGCATTCAGGGTGCTGGGCCATCTTGTCTAGACTGTACTCTTGCCTAGAAGGGCTGGACCAGATGATCCTTGAGGTCCCTTCCAGCCTGGAATTCTATGATTGCTGCTGAATTACCCCATGCTTGCTTTGTGCAAACTAAGAAGGTTACGACCATGTGGTCTTGGGCAGAAGAGTAACTTTTGGTCTCACTTAGGTGCTTTTTGTCAGTGGGGATGTGGCTTCACTGCCAGCTTGTCCACCCTGAAGAGGAACCAATGGGGGAGGGGTTGGTGGGTGCAGGCTGGACAGTTGCAGCATCACCTCTGCTCTTCTAGCCAGGGTGGATGTGGCATGGCAACGACAGGGCCACTGATGCAGACCTTGGCTAGGTGGCAGAGGTCGATGCTGGTGGGTGGCAGATGCCCCAGGGTGAAACATGTTGGTGTAAAAATACATTGCTGTAAAACTCGGATAAGCATGGTCCAAAACAGAGTGTCACCCTGGTCCTGCAGTGCTTCAGCTGACGTGGTCTCAGATCACACAGTTAAAGCTCCATGTGGCAGTGGAGAGCCACCCAGAGAAAAAACAATCCTCAGCCAAAATTGCTGCAGAGACCTCCCGATTTTCTGGGGGACTGGCTCACCTGTGCAAGCTTGTAGCAGCCCCTGCTTCCCTTGTTCCACCCTTTGCCCACCCTCCTAAGATCCTGGGAGCAGGAAACATCTCCCTGTGCAGTTGGTTGGACCATCAAGGGCTCCAGGCATAAAGCACGGGCTGCTTTGCCACAGAGCTTTGGGAGGGGAGAGGCTGCCTGGGTGTGATGTTTACGGGGGCATCAAAGGGACTTCAGAGCTACCAGGTGCTGGGATGTAGGGACGCTGCCACCACATACAGCTCTGAGGTGTGGTCGTGCAAGCAGGGTGCTTCTCTTTTGTCCGACAGCAACGCAATGAACTGGCCTATAGAAGGCAGCTGGCCTGGTGGCAAGGTGGTAGATCTGCTGTCGTTGCCTCGGTGAGCTCTTCCGCTTGTGGCGGGTGTTTTTCCCGCTGTGGAAGAGACGGCATGTTTCCTCCGCCTTGTGCAAGCGCAGCATGGCTTCCTTGGGGGTCTGATGAAAACCTGTTGCTGCTTCTGACTTCCAACCCTTTGTGCCTTCCTCTGCTTGCTGCAGGCTCCATGCCTCCTGACACCAAGGCTATAGAAAGTGAAAAACCCAAACCCTAAACACAGAGAAAGCTCTGCAAGGTTATGCTGGGTTTTGCTTAATTAGCACAGGAAGCAAATATTCCTGTTCTTCGTCAGGGCAGGCTTGTGTCAAGTCTTTTCGGCATGGCAGCAATGCTATCCCCAGCAGTTATTCCTGCGCAGCCTTACGCTGGGGACGAAGTTATGGGGAAGCGCAGCATTGCTAAAGCCCCTGCTCTGCTGAGGATCCGTCCGTGCCAAGCTCTGGGGAAGGACTGGGGGCTCTCCCTGCGGATCAGCAGGGCGGGGTGTGTTCTTTGCATGAGAAGTCTCCCCAAAAAAACACCCTGTAGAACAACACTGTAAATAAATTGGGTTGTTTTTTAATTAAAAAGTGGGGTTTTTCCTGCCCTCTTGCAGGCCCTGGCAAGGATCGGGCGCTCTGGCTTCATGGCTCATCACACAGCCTCACAAAAAGAAACAGTTGCTTTGCCGCTGTCTGCACGGGAACTCGATGCACAGATCTGCGGTGCTGCATGCAGGCAGCTGCGGCTGCTAAAAGCCCTAATCTAGAAAGCAGGGAATTGCGAAGCCAGCGCTCCCGGGGGGACGTTTCCTCCCCACCAATACACCTCCAGCCGTGCAGCCCTGCAGAGCTGCGGGCACTCGCTTGGCTGTGGGAGCCACAGCGCTACTGGTGCGTCCTGCCCAGTGCCAGACCCGCAGCAGCTTGGGTGGTGCTGGACAATGCTTGTGCACGGGGACGGCTGAGTTTAGGGTTCAATTTTCATGGGGAGCTTCTGTGTAACTAGGTGACAAAGCGAGTCAGAGGCTGGGCTGTAAATCCAGGTGTGGTGGAGAAATCAGCTGTGATCGCCCCCAGCCAGGGTTGCACCTCTTCACAGCACGAGCAAAACGTTATCCCAGAGCTTATCCTGGAAGAACACAGTTGCTCAGAGCTGGTCGCAGGCTCAGTTGTATTTTGAAGTGATGCTGGGTGCAGTTGCGGCGGCACAGGCCACGGCTGCCTTAGAGCGTCTCCAGCCAGGTGAGCCAAGGTCTGGGAGCACACATTGCTTTTGCAGCTCGGGGGGGCCTATGGGACTGCCAGGGCAGGGCAGGGCTGATGTTTCCCCTCGCTTTCACCCAGCCTCAGTGCCGAGGAATCAGTGAGGGCTGGGTCCAAGCAGCACTGGTGAAGCCGATGTGGCTTAGAACCCCTGAACATCTCCCACTTGGCGAGTTGACCCCGAGCCCTTGGGGTTTCACACGTTTGCCTTGCACAGGGACTGAGCCCCAAACCCCCATTTTCTGTTCCCATTAGACATCCCCTTTTGCATGAAGGCCTGGAAGAAGGCAAGGACCCTCTCCATCCTCTCCAACAGCCGTAGTGGAGATGGGAATGGGTTGGGATGCTCCCTGGGCACGGTGGGGATCTCCATGTGGGCTGGCACACCACTCCACACCAGGGGCCAGGAACGCCGCCGAGCCTGGCTCTGAGCCAGGCCAAATCCCCGGGCCGGCTGGGTTCAGGTGGTTAGGCACACATGCGGGCAGGGAGAAGGGCAAGACGACGGACGAGCCGCAACCCTGCTCCCCCTGCCAGGCCTGAGCAGGGCCGCTGTCCCCAGGGAGCCGGGGCTGCTGTTGGGGGATTCGGGGATGCTCTCCGGGGGTCTCGGGCCCCATGCCCCCAGCTCCCGGGGCTGCTGTTCCTGGGGCTCGGGGCTTCCCCATCAGGGCGTTGCAGCGTTGCCGTCCCCGGGCCGAAGCCCGAAAGTTCATCAAAGTTGAGAAAGTTTTTTCGTGGAAAGGAGGGAAAAAAATAAAATTGAAATAACTCGAACCCAACAGACGCACAAAAAAAAGCCCCGCTCCCCCCGGGGGGGCGGGCCGGGCCGGGATTGGCGCTGGGCGGCCCG